ATGCCGGAGAAGTGGAAGGTAGAGAAGGGCTGATGGCAGCGCTGGTGAGGAGTCAGGGTGCTTTGTTTTGCTTTGTGCTGACATAACCGTGTGTGTAATTGATCCAAGTGAAATACTATGCACTCTCGCTGCCACCTTGCCTGCTCATGATGAAATCTAGGTAAAATGTGGGCAATCTACTGTATGTATCTAGAAGGCCAAACAACATGATGCCATCAACACCTTAACCCACAGATGAGCAGTGGAGTGGTAATGCAGCTTCCTTCAGAGCTCCTACCCCATACCTACCCTGTAGCTATTTTCCTTAGTAGATTTATGAGACCCTATAAGGGGCTTTCACGATCTACGAGATGCAAGGCTGTTACACTGATAAATCTTCTATCATGAGCTAAGATCTTGCCTAGAGCCGAAGACTAAATTGTGCAGAGTCATGCAGTCATAACGAGTAAGGTGTGTGGGTTTGCTGTTTGGTCAGGTGAAATTAGGGTAAAGTCAGAGAAACCTCAAGAAAAAAACCCCACAGATGTAGGGGAAAAGGTTGGGCTTAGTTTTGGCTTTAGAATATGCATGTGGGGACTGCGAGAAGCGCAACTGGAAATGCAGTGTTTCATAAGCACTTCCACTGAAAAGTGTTTGGAAATCCAGGTAGCTCGCTGCTGTCCGACCTTAGCTGATGTGTTGCTTAACTTTTCCAACTCGGTGCACAGATAAAGGGACTTTTTGCTGTAAAACACGCATTCTCAGGACCCAGTGGTCACTAATGCATTTTTGGTGTCCAAAAACCAGGCAGCCACAGAATTCAGCTGGAGTCTACTCGTGTGTCGTATATGATGATGAAGTTGGCTCGTCTACAGTCCATAACATGGAGAGCTTTTAGAAAATAGTGTCATATCTAAGGAATTTGTTAATGAAAATAATACAGGAATGTAGTGTTGAGCTAGAATTTCAGTTGTCTGGCTTTTGTACAGGGTGAGTTTCTTTTTGTATGAGGGTGTGGTTTTGGGTGTCTGTTCCCACCCCCCCACCCCACCCCACCCCCCGTTTTTTTAAGGAGCACATGGGCACACCTTCATTTCAGTATGCCATACATACGTACATACACAGTTTGTGTTCTGAAAGAAATTTGTGTACAGGTGATGCTTTTCATAGTATATTCAAACTGAAAGTTTGATGTGAAGTAGTCTGCAGGAAATGGGAGATTTAATTCAGAAAGTTGGGCCAGGATCTGCTGTCCTAAGCAACAAAGCTTCATTTGACGTTATATCTAGTTTTCTAAGAGTAAATTCAGGTTTGACCCAGCCATTCATCTCGTACTCTGAAGTGAACCTGGTAAAACTAGCCTCTTGCGACACTTCTTGCAGTGCTTAACGTTTTCTTCCTGTTTGTAATGTTTCCCAGTGCAATCCTTTGGGAAGAGAAAACTCACTTTCTCTGATACTGGATTTTCTTTCTAAATGGGACAAAGTAGTTTTTAGGAAAAAGTTACAAACCTGTGTTGAAAATCGCTTCCAACTGTTGAGTCTTTAGCTGAAAGTCAGTCTTTCAACAGTTTCTTTTTACCTGGAGTGAAAAATGTATCTCTGATTCACCAGATAGACAACTAATCTTTAATAGATCCAAGCTATTTCATTAATCATCTGTTACTTTGTTACAGCAGTCACAGAACAGTCCACAAAGAAAGAGGCTCATGTGCTCATGTTCAGTCAACCAGTTTTGTAAAGACATTTCTTAAAGAACAAATAATGCAGAAGAAAACCGTGAACTGCACAATTAGTCAAATTAGGTATTACTGTAAATTCTTCAAGTTGCTTAAAAATAGATGTCGCTCCTATGTTATACGATGCATCTGCTCTTAAATTTGGTAGTTATGTTTAAATATTTAAGTGTTTCAGTAGTGTTAAATAGTTTTATACTTGTTCTAAATTAAATTCTTCTGGCAAAGAGGTTTTTATTTTGTTTCTATTGTGTTGCAGACTCTCCTACAGATTTTTGGTGTGGTGGCTGTGGCTGTGGCAGTGATTCCTTGGATACTCATCCCCTTAATCCCACTATTTATTCTTTTCATTTTTCTTCGACGATATTTCTTAGACACTTCAAGAGATATTAAACGTCTAGAATCCACAAGTATGTAGTTTGGCGGGATTCAATGTTAGTCTGAACACTCCATATTATTATGTGAAATGCTAGTATTTTATAAATCCATCAGATTTTTTTTTTTTTCTTTTGCTCTGCAAATAACTTCCTTATTGTCTTGGTTCTCAACTAGTGAATTACATCCTTAACTCCTGTTTTGTGTAGTGATAAACCTTAGGTATGTCAGTTTAACTATCTGTAAGTAAAGCTGTTTAAGAACATGCTAAGTTGCTGGTCTTTGGGACCTTGCGTGCACATATTAATGGTGTTTCTGACCTAATCTGACTCTTGTGCCTGACTTTAGCTTGACTATGATATGAAATATTAAGCATTATGAATAACAAACATGGGTGCCTCATGTCATTAAAGCTCAAATAATTTCTTCAGTGGCAGCTATTGTTAAAAACGTAAGACATTTTTGTATAAATTAATCTGCCTGGCTGTCTGACTGATTCTAATTGAGTAAGAGGACTTTGGTGAAAGATATTGCGTATTTATTCTAAAAGGATGCAGTACAGTAACTTGTATAGTTAAATATAAAGTAGTAGGATTAAAGATTAGTGTGGTACAAAAAGAATTAAATGTCCTTCAGCTATTGCTAAGTTACTCTCATTTCCCTTTGTAGCTCGAAGTCCAGTGTTCTCCCACTTGTCGTCATCCCTCCAGGGACTTTGGACTATTCGGGCTTTGAAAGCAGAGGAAAGATTTCAAAAATTATTTGATGCACACCAAGACCTCCACTCAGGTTTGTGATGAATTGACGTGAAAAATCAAATACTTCGCTCTGTAGGAGGGAATATCTTATGCCCTCAGCGACATGTGTATAATGTACATTAAAATCAGTAGGAGCTGTGTATTTGTCTCTTTAGGGTAAAATTTCTCTGTTAGAACAAAAACGTTATTATCTGTCTAGATTTTGAGAGTTTACTTTGGGCTGTAATATAATTTGAGATACCCATGCATATGTTTTAACAATTTCTAAGATAAACCTTTTAAAGTATGCCTGATAAGAATATTTAAAGAATCATTTTTTTACATTTTCCTGGATTCCATCTTGTAAGAGAGAGAGAGGGAGAAACAAGCTATACTATAAAGCATTTAATATTAAGTAGTGTGCTAGGACTGGGCAGAGATGATTAATATAGATCATCTTGGAAAAGTTTCATAAATCTCACTTTTTTACTTTGAGCAGCTTTCAGGGCTCAAATCTAATGTGTGGTATTAACGTCACCAGAAGGTGTAAAATACTAGTATTCTGCAAGCATAAGTAATATAAATCAGGTTTGCGCTGTGATTCTTTACCTTCTGTCAATTAAATGTTCTCTATTACAATGTTTTTCAAGATGCAGCAGAATGCAAGTTTGCAATTTTGTGTTTGTTAGGTAAGATCTTGCATTTCTTATGTCACAAGACATACAAGTATATTCTACAGCTTTTTTGTAATTTATGGACTTCTAAGGTTTCAGACCAGACCAGTTGATCTTTTATGAAGTACAGTTTATCACAGGCTGTAGGATCGTACACACTGATCTCCATGTTGACCTCAGTAACTTGTGACTGGCAAAACATATCTTCCAGGGAGGCACCTCTGACTTTGAATTCCCCATTCAATAATATTTTCAAGTTGCTAGTTATCTGACCAAATCAATTTTATATTAGCTGATAGCAAGAGAACACAAAGTTGTTTTTTACGCTTTGTATTAGAAAATTTCTTTAGTCGATAAACTGCATATAAAAGTTTCACTATACAAAGATGACTGTGACCTATAAAAGAAATATTTTCCTGTGTTTTAAGGTCAGATCTAAGGAACATAAACACACTATTTTGCAGTCCATTTTATGCATCTCTCTAACAAAACTGTCAGTAACTATTCTCCTGGGCAGTTCAGGAGCCAGCTTTTGAGATGAAGCTTCAGTGCTTATAGTCGCACTCCTTTGTGTACCTACACACTTCATCTTGGTGTCTTTCCCACAAGAGTGTTTGGGGTATATCAGTTTGCTTAGTGTGTGTGTGGTTTTTGGTCCTTGGAATGAATATGAGCCAGCAATGTGCGTGGGCAGCAAAGGTGGCCAACAACATCTGGGCTGTATTAACAGAAGCACACCCCATGGAAGGAGGGAAGTGGTTATCCCCCTCAGCACTTGTTAGCCCACGTTTGGACTACTCCATCCAGTTCTGGATCCCCAGATACAGGAGAGGCTCTATCAAACTGGAGTGAGTTTGGTGGAGGGGCCACTGAGATGGTCAGGGGACTAACAAGAGAGCTCTCCCTTTGAGGAGAGGCTGAGGAAACTGGGCTTGTACAACTCGCAGAAGAGAAGGCTTACAGAAGATTTAATAGCTGCCTTCCAGTACCTGCAAGGATGTTCCCAAAAAGATAGTCAGGCTTTTTACAGTGGAACGTGGTGGGAGGAGCAGGAAAATTGGGTGTAAGTTGTAACAAGAGAAGTTTAACCTGGATACAAGGAAAAACTTTTTCACCATGAGGACAGTCAAGCAGAGGAACAGGTTGCCCAGAGATGTTGTGCAGGTTCCATCCATGCCAATTGTCGAGACTCAAACTGCGTAAAGGATGGAGCAACATGGTCTGACTTCAGAGCTGACCCTGTTTTAAGCAGGAGGTTGAACTAGAGACCTCCTGAGGTTGCTTCCACCCTGAATGATTCTTTGATACTAAGTGTGTGCAAGCAATAGCCAAGAGAATAGGATACCTTTCATACTAGCTCACAAAGTCGGAGTCCTGGGTTCTCCCGAAAAATTTTAAATTCATTCCTGCATCACAGAAGGCTCTCACAACCAGCAATGGTTTTGTTTAGCGCTTTTGCCTGGAGTGGAATCCTCCTCTCTGTTTAGGGCTAAGCCTGGGAAACAGGACACTTGCATTGAACCCTTTTTCAGGGCTGCCTATGAATTTGATATTAAATAATCTGTGGATAAAAAAACATATAAAAGGCATGCTGAGGTTTGACCAAACCTAAGTTTCCTTCCTGCCAGTGCAACATCTCTATAAGCAAGCTCCTAGAAGTTAGGCCATAATGAGTCTTTGGTAGTCCCCATAATTGCCGTATTCTTTCCTGCACACACAGTGACCCCGGTTACATAGGGAGGTGCAGAATGACCCTTCTCAAGCTGGTACTTTACTGTACCTTCCTGGAGAATGGGGTCAATGGAGCAAAACCTTGGAGCTGAAAAATCTACAACCCAAGTGTCCCATTTCTTGGTCTTATAAGTACACTATTACACTAAAAATGACCTTTCATGTCACCAGGAAGCTGCCATAGGCTGTTTCCAGGGTCACTTGGCTCCTGGGTTTCAGAGAGGTACCTACGTTATCGTGGTGAATTCAATTTCTGGAACTAGGTTTGTGACTTGATGCAGTGCTCTCTTCTGCATATGTTGTTCACTGTGCCTACGTGTATGGCTATCCGTTAGACCATATCAAATGTCTTGTTTAATGAAACCAGCTGCTAAATGTATGGTCAGGCCTATGCAGTTAGAGTTGATGTAAATGGGACTAAGAGGTTACCAGCTCTGGACCTTACTTGCCTGCCTCTTGTCATTTTTTCTACTGCCCTCCAGAAGTTGCACAGCGTTCTGTTGGCTGAATTGTTGGTTTGATCACTCTGTAATCTGGCTATCCAAAATGATCTGACTTAAAACCAGACTTAGCTCCTCCCTTTTTTTTATAAAACGGAGGATTATTTTTTTTCGGTTTGAATCTTTCCCAGCACTGGGCTGAGGAACATTGAAGCAGTTGAAACAGCACTGATCTTTAGCATGGAGTAATGACAAGCAATGCAGCAAGGGCTGGAATGGTAACCTTCTGCTGTGACTTGGTAGCAGCTGGAACAATTCATCTGACTGCAGCCTAAGCAATAAATAATGCCATACTTTGTTATGGCTACTTGACTTCTGGTTTTGGCCCTGAATTCAAACACTTTGCCTTCTGTATCGCAGTGTCCTTTCCTGCCATTTCCTCTATCTTGTACTGTAGCATATCTATCTGGGATGGAATTTAGCACCGAATTGTGGACACCTGGATGTAGGTACCCATTGAGATGTCCACCTGTAAGCTTCCCTGAAAGTAGATACGTACATTTAGCCAATTGAACAGCTCTGTAGCTCCACTGGCTGTATTGAGTAGCTCTTATGGGAGCTTAACCAGCTGCAGCTGCCTTCTAAAGACTTGGCTCTGACAGTTGTGTTGTCTCAGGTTCTAGCTAAAAGCCTGTAGGCTGTAGTCCAGCTACGGCAAATCTAGTTGTACTTCTGCTTTTTGTAGAAGACTCCCGAGTCTACTAGAGTTAAAAGAAGATTTTCATTGTAAATAAATGGACCGTGCTTCAGGCCTGTACTGTTTTTCTTCCTATTACTGTATGTTATACTAGCTGTGGTTGCTATTGTGGTTGCTATTAGTGTGAAAACTAGGTTAGACTATTTCAGGAAAATTGGACAATATTCTGATCATCATCAGTCCGTACGGACATGCATTTGAAGATGGCAATGGGATTTCTTTTAACAACTTGTAATATTAACATGAATTAATTTAATAATAATTATTCAGCTTAGTTTTCTAATAATCCACTGTTCTTGTGTCTTTGTAAAATACACTTTAGAGGCCTGGTTTCTATTTTTGACGACCTCGAGGTGGTTTGCTGTGCGTCTGGATGCCATCTGTGCCATTTTTGTTATAGTGGTTGCTTTTGGTTCCCTGCTTCTTGCCAAGAGTAAGTACAGATGTTAGAAAAAGTTCACTCAGTAATTACCATGTATAGTAATGTCTAATTCTTTTTCATAGATTGCTGTTTCTAATTGTTTAAGGGCTGTAATTAAGTTAAATGTTTCTTTCTAGATCATGATCTCTTCCTCAGTCTAGGGCATTGAGGCTGGGTCTGCTATCCTGCAAATACTGGAGGCAGTTCAGACATCTTCTGGGTTTAGGCGTGCATGTACCATCATCCCCAAATGTGCAAACAAACTTGCAGATCTGTAGTCTTCACTTTTGACGCTCTGGCTTTCAGAGCAATAACAACAAATAAATCTTTTTCTTTTTCCCCACCTTTGGCTTTCTTTTGTGGGCCTACAGGGCTTTGCTTTTCTTACTGAAACACCCACGGAGCAGCTTCTTAACAACTTTTTTCCTTTCTACACATGATCCAGTAGGCCAAAAGTCAAGTTAAAATTCCTAGGGATACTCCTCTTGGATCAGGAGGATAGACCAGTTCCTGAAAGGAAATCGCCTTGTAATAGTACATTTTATGTTCACTGTCGCTCATGAACTGTCATTAGTGTATGCATCATCCAGGATGTAATTGGGTTAGACGTACTAGAATGAGATAGTCATCTAAAATATGAAGGAAGAAGTAATTATCTTGGACATGAAAATTAGTGCTAATTTGCTGGTTTTGTTTCTTTTCTTTTTCCTTTGGATAAGTTCTGTATATGCATGTGGGTTTTAAAATTTGAACACTCTGTGCTGCTCAACACTGAAAATTTTGAGCTAGGTTTGATGTTATTAGAATGCAAAAAGACAAGTCAAAACAATGGTCCTGAATCTTTCCTTGCCTCTGGATAAGGAGCAGCTCTCTTGAAGTCAATAGAGCTATGCTAGGATAAAGTTCAAGTAAGTCAGAGAACAATCATGCTTAATATTTGGGCAAACAGAATTAATTTATTTTGTGAGAGTAGACCCATTGAACACAATAAATGCTTATATAAACAGGGGAAGAAATATTCTGTCCTGTTATTTTATCTGATCACATACCGGAGTACAAAGTTGATGTAAATGTTTGTAACTTATTTTGAAATCATTTTGCAATCATTTTTTGTCTAGGTTTAGGGGCTAAGTCCCTTAGAAAAAAGTGAAAAGTTACAATGCTCAGCCAGATAGGGATGACCCTAACAAGCTATGTAAGGATGGTCTTGAGACTGAACCTCAGTTTTTAGATAAAATGCCAGGCCAAGAAGAATTGGGATTATCTTTTCAAATATACAGACAATTTCTAAAACGTACCAAAAAAAATGCAGCAAGTAGCTGTTCTGCCTGGAGCTACTCATTGCACAGATGGCAAGTACAGTGTAACCAAACAAAATTCTGGCTGTGATGCTTCCATCACGTAAGTAACCTCATGAAAGTGAAGTTAACTAGGATTTTGTGTAATTACCAGTGTACCTATTTGATTCTCTTTTTTCTTTGTTCTGCAGCTTTGAATGCGGGGCAGGTTGGTTTGGCACTATCCTATGCAATCACCCTCATGGGAACATTCCAGTGGGGTGTTAGACAAAGTGCTGAAGTTGAAAACCTGGTAACATTTCTTTCTTCCTTTTCACCTTTTAGTTCCTTTTCGTGGTTGTGACATGAGGCCTTAAGGATGGGATTTTTCTTAATTAACTTAGGACGTTAATACCTTAGCAAGCGATTGAGGCACCGCTTACAGTCCATAAATTATTCCCTAGAAGAGACTATTTTTATTTATCTGACTGATTTTGCAAGCCTGTTGAGATGTTTTGTCCCCAGTGACTGTCCCTCTCCATTCATAGTAAGGGGGGCTTTATAACCTCCCTTTACAACAGAAAGGAGACTATCTAGTTACAGTGTAGATACTTGCATTGCAACTTGCTAAAATTACAAGAAATTAGTCCCTCTCTATAAGTAAGATTTCTTTAAATGATTTTTTTTTTAAATTTGGGATTTTTAATTTATTATTTATTATTGCATTTTAAAATTTGATTAATATCCCTTATGGCATTTTTAGAGTCCTGTTAACTTGTTGTAAAGGCTTATACCTTCTTAATTTCTTGTAAGTTCACAAATACTTGAAAGTATTTGTTTATCTGCAGCTAAGAGGATTGCATGTTTTCCAAAATGTATAAAGTAAAACACCTTCCACCAATTTACAGTATTTGCTAGCATGTTCTAGTTTGCCTATTTACTTTCTTGAGTTTATATATTAAGAAAAAAAAATAACTATTAAAAGAACATACTGAGCATAAACCTGGGTGGTTTTGTGTTATATTGACAACTGGGAGTTACTTGTAATTATGATTTGCTGACCATGGTCTATGAAATACATGTAGTCCTTTTGTAGAAGTTACAAAGCCATGTTTAGTAACAGATAAAATTAATAATAATGTTACATTTTTTTGCCTAGCAGATTGCTTCTTCAGATCATTTTTCAGACATGAATAAACTAGTGGTGACAGACTTTGGTCAGAAATGGGAAGAAGGCTCTCAGGTTTTTTTGTACCAGTTGGAAAGTTTTGGAAGTGTCAATCTGTGGGACTCTTATGTAATGAGTTACTCTCTTGGAGGCTGTAATTCAGAAATACTTTGGAGGAGAAAGGCTTGCCATTCAATAAGCTAGCTTTAATCACTTTATAGAGCTATGATTAGCATCAACTTCTTTGACAGGTGGACATCCACCAAAAATGCCTTGTTATTAAAGACTTGATTACATTTGGAGGAGGCAAGAACAATTTACTCTATTCTACTCTGTCGTTCCTTCCATATATGCTTTTCCTTGGAGATTATTTTGTAATGTGGAAAGCGTAGGTGGCAACGAGGTCATAGAACTTGCTGCTTGATGACCTCTGCCCTTAAAACCACTCCAAGCAAGATAAGACTACTGAATATTTTTATGATTTATTTTTTTCCAGAATCTATCTGTGAATGGATATCATTAAATACAATTAATTGTATTGAGAAGGTGTATGGGTGAGGATGCACACCAGAGCCTAAACAGAACTTCTGTTACTTGCCCAAGGGAAAAAAAGTGTCTAGATAGCTCAACTTCTGTTTCTCTTCCTTCCCATAAGACTAGAGGCATCAGTAAATATTGCTGTTTCTTTCATATCTGGCATAAAATACATAGGAAAACAAGTTTTATTGCATATAAATTGCTAATAATATGGTGACAGCTATCTTGGATTGTGGAGTTGCTTATGACAAACATGTTTAAAAGATTTGCTGGGGGTGAGCGCAGTGGTAATGATGAGGACAAAAAAAGGGATGATGAAGCCAGTAACTTGATGCCAGTAGCTATCGTGCATCTTCCTGTAACTTGTATGGCGGTTTAATTTCTAGCTTTGTCTTCCCAACACACAATGAAATGGTGTCATCTTAGCCAAGACTGACAGACAACTCTCATAGCTTAAATTTCTTAATACTTATCCACATACTTAGATTTTTAATTAATCCCACTGGTTAGAAATGAATTCTGTGTGGATTTATGTATCATGATAGATTTGGGTTTGTAGAAGGACATGAGATGCATTCTTTCCAGTTTTTCAGTTGTATAAAGTAATCATAGGATGGTACCAAATGCTGTTATTTGTGCTTAAAACTCTGGAATAAAGGATGGTACCAAATGCTGTTATTTGTGCTTAAAACTCTAGAATAATTTGCATTGAATCTTTATAGTAAAATATACACACACATATATATGCATGCAGTATTTGCAATATATGCAATAAGCTGAAATTTATGTGTATGTGTCTTCTTTCCTCCCCTTAGATGATATCAGTAGAAAGAGTCATGGAATACACAGAACTTGAAAAAGAAGCTCCTTGGGAGACCAACAAGCATCCACCACCCGAATGGCCAAGCCAAGGAATGATAGCATTTGAAAATGTTAACTTCACATACAGTCTAGATGGACCTTTGGTGTTAAGACATTTATCTGTTTTAATTAAACCAAAAGAAAAGGTATGTATATGGCTGTCTTTGGCCGTTCACAGAAATTAAACAAAGATAAGTTGACAAGAAGCTGTGTGATAAAAATACATTATAAAATATATAGACGTTATGAAATTAGTAAGTGTTCTTTTAAAAAGTAAGCCTTAGTCATATTTAATAACAGAATTTGGAGCCTGTTTATTTCCTATAAGTGTAACATAAATGCATCTGGGAACATGACATTTCTGTCTGTCAAAACAGAGTTAAACATATTTGATAATTTTCTGATAAAACTTGGGTGACGTCAGAAAGTGGCAGATGTTCAAAATATCAACTAAGCCCAAAATATTTGTTGAAATCCAAAGCAAATGGAGCTGCATTAGGAAATTAGGGATTCAGCAGAAGGAACATAAATGGAAGGAAGGATGTCAACAGAGAAGGTGAGCAGAGACAATTGAAAATAAGAAATGTACATGCTCTTGCACAGAGCCCCGAATGGAAGAGAGAAGAAAGAAATACAAATGAGTTGCATAACTTTAGAACTGGGGATTTTATTTCATTTCCTTTCGGCTACCAATCCAATTAACTGTTGCCATTAATTAGATTGGTAGCCAAAAGAAACATAGAAATAAAACTCTTCCTCCTCTGCAAATTTGCCTCTTCCTCCCCAATTTTGACACTATCCCAATTGAAAGAGTGCTGCAGGGAAGGTCTCCCCCACAGACAAAATTAAATTAGAGCCCTGCAGTGTTAATTTGTGCTTTGCTACATTTCAAATGCACATGTACTTTTTTGATTAGGATATCTTCCCTAGGAGGCTGGTTCAACTCTCTACAATCGTTGCCCTGGCCTCATTTATAACATGCTTTTCCATTCAGTCCCAAACCTGTTTCATTCCTCAAGTGGACCTGTTTAATAACATGCATGTTACAAGAATTCAGCCCAACTTTGCTGCATGGAGATGATCTCATGGAATTAGGTATGGGTGAGTTAAAAATGGTGTTTAAGAAGAAGAGCAAAAGGGGTGTTTATCTGCTCACTACTTTTCTTGCCTATAGGCCATCTCTCTAGCAGTTATATATCACTCCAATGTAACAGCAGACAAGAAGATTTACATTTCTTAGTGAGAGACAGAAATAAAATAAAAAACGGAAGCAAGATATATTAGCAATGTATGACTCAGTCCTTGAGGGGGCAGGAGGGGGAGGGATGACTGGGGGTATTTACTTTTCCTCAGTGGTTATGCGGTGCTTTTGTCATCCTGAAGTGAATTTGCCCAGCTTGAAACTATTGCCAAGAACTTCATGTTTGTTTTCTATGAAGTTTTGCACAACACTGCAGTAAACTGCCGCTGTGTAAAATAAATCTCCCAAGCATCTGTGCTCCTTACATTGGTTTTAATTATGGAGAAGCGTCTCTTCAGAACAAGATTTCCGGATCCCCTAGGGATTCTGCCTGTGTGGCTGTCAGTGAGAGCTCTTATCCCTGTTCAGACCCCTGGCTCATTCAGACTTCTGATGGCTGCAGTGCCACTGGCAGCATGAATGAGTTTAAACTTCTACCGTGCTTGTAGTTTTTCTTGTAGCCACCCCAGCACCCAGTTTGGGAAGCTGTAGGTACAGTAATAATGGAGGAGGTGATTGCTAGCAGATCACTCGTCGGTGAGGGTCTCTTTTGATCTCCTTATCTCGGCGTTTGGTATTTCCCCACAGATAAAGCAGGCTAGGAGGGACCCTCTGTTTTAGCCGTCTTTGCTAAGGTGGCATAGTCTGCCGGGGACAGATCTGGGAGTGCCCACGTAAGGAGTTCTGCCAGCAGCTGGCTGTGATCAACCTCTTCAGCTGCTATAGCAGGAGAAGGTTAGCATCTGCAGCCTTGGGTCTTAAACACCACTATCTTTGTTTTAGCGTGCTTATGAATCCTTATTGACTAATATATTGTTAAATGCACCTTGTCTTGACAGATCCTAAATCTGAGGGTATGGCTACGTGAAAAAGTTAGGAGGGTGAGGGGCTAGATTTACGGTATGGCAGCTGTTCCCAGCGTAGCACGAAAGAGAGGTTGCCTGAGGGATAACAAAGACACGGGCAGTTTCAGTGGAGTTACAGTTGACATGCTATAAATCTCACTCTCATTTTTTGTGTAGCTCTGCTCTGAGGTACGAGTGATACTTGAGTAACAATGAGCCCAGCGTAGCAGGTGTACTCCTGCATATGCGCATGGCTTACGTCGGGCAACAAAATCCTGGCCGTGGGATTCCCGTTAGGTAGCTGGGAGTTCCATTTGCAGACCGTCGCTGTATTCGCACTGCCTATGTACATGGGCCTCTGAAGAGTAAAATGTATTAAAAAAATAAATAAATGTGTATACTGAGAGCTGTTTCAAATTCATGTCAATTTTCAACAGCCTGTAGTCAATTGGACCAAAAATACAAATAGATTCCTCTAAATACTGAAGAGCATAGTCCTTTCATTTGATGCCAAACTGAAAGTGGGGTTTTGACAATATGCAGAGCAGCTGCATTTTTATTTTAAGTATCAATGTGTTTTTTGTATTTTTTTCTTTATATCCTTAATACAATACTTTGTATCACTGACATTTGCAGAGAAACAATTGAACTTTTGTTTTCACAACTCTGGGTGTCTGTGTTCTCCATTCAGCATTTTCTTTCTGAGCTGTAGTGTAACTGTTCAGACCTATTTTTCCTTTGTTTCAATGATATAATTTAGAATACTATAAATTTTATCATTTATTGTAACAGATTTGCTTAAATTAGGCTGTATCTTTAATAATAAGCACTATATAAATGTTAATTAGTTTATATACAATAGTACAAGAATGAATTGTTGGATGAAATTGTTGAATCGGAAAATAGAAGTAGAAAATACCTTTTAGATTATGGAGCCTAAGTTGCTCCTTGTGGTGTACTTTTTTAGCATTTTGTATATTTTTTTGTCCAATGTGGGCACTGCTGCTTTATCTGAGTTTAGTGTCTCTGACTTAGAAAGTTTCTGCTTGCTTTTCGATGTAATGTTTCCTGTGCTTAATTTCATTCCAGCAGTCATTACTGCATACATCTGAGTCTCAGGCAGTGGGTAATTGCCCTCTGGTGTCTGTACGTATACTCATGAAGGTTTTCATGTTTCTTCCTCCCTTCTGCACCTCAATCACTTCACCAGGCTATATTGTACATGTTTAATCCTTGTAAATCCTTCCTCAACAAATCAGTATCTCCAACCCATATTAATTTTATGTTGCACTTCTCTGAACTCCTTCCAGTGTGCTGAATTCTTTCTGGAAATGTAGTGATTAGAGCTGAGTGCAGGAAATAACAAATCCTGCCAGATCAGATCTGTATAGAGGGTTACACCCATCACCTTCTCTGATACAATTGATTACTGTACATTGTTTTCTCTAAGAATCCTTTACCTGAAGACAACATTTAAAAAATAAAAAAGTTTGCTATTCAAGTAATATTTAATCACCACTAATTATATGTCTCCTTTATTAATGGACCTAATTTGTCCCAAGTGTTGGTTTCATATGAAATATTTGTAGGTCTTAACCCCTTGTCATTACAGTTAGCAGTCCCATATTTTGCATTGTCTCTACCTCTTTTTTCTGAAAGCATTATTTTTTCACATTGCATACAGCTTCTGATTTTTCTTTGGGAACATACAGAAGCCTGAGTCACTGTGGTTTTATTATTCACTGTTTCTTATGTTTGGAAAGGAATTGAAGCTTGCTCACATGGCCTTGTAGTTTCAATACTTGTGTCCGCTCTGTTAAAGCTATCTGAAGTATGAATACAGTTTATAATCCTGCTAGTTTTGGCTTTAGAGTTTGACTGCTTTAAAGTACTTTACCTTAACCATACTAACCAAAATCAGTCTCAGTTATTTAAATTGGGAATACTGCTCATACGTTGTTCCAAAAGTTCTTTGTGGGAGTCTTTTTTGGGGTTGAGAAGTAGATGCATGCCTGAAATTACTTGCCTAACATCACCCAGCAAACCAGGTTTACTATAAAAATTAGCAGCCTTGAATTGCATTGCTCTGTACACTGAGTCACTTTAACTTATTTACACAATAAAACACCACACATTAAGGGAAAAATCTTTCACCTTTGTATATGATCCGAGAAATTGTTGGGTATCCAAATGTCACCTGAATCCAAACTGATTTGGGGGGAGGTTTTTTCCTCTCAAAAAATGTTAATTATAAAGAGGTTTTATTTGGTGCTTGTTCTACTATAAATCCTGTGATGTTGTAAAACTGTTGCTTGACATATTAATTTGTCCTGAAAATCTCATGGTTTGATTGTACAAACTTGGCTTGCTCTGTAGGTTGGAATAGTGGGAAGAACCGGAGCTGGGAAAAGCTCTCTGATAGCAGCCCTCTTTCGCTTGGCGGAACCCGAAGGAAGGATTTGGATTGATAAGTATTTGACGTCAGAGCTAGGACTCCATGACTTACGGAAGAAAATTTCAATTATACCTCAGGTAAGAGAGTGACTTGGTCTGCTATAAACATTTTCCATATAATGCCATAGTATTTAAAATGCTTTGCTGGGATGCATACCCCCTGCACCCCTGTACGCAGCAGACATAGAAACTTCAGCGAGGCATTATTCTTACTTGAGTAAAGTCTTGATTATTTTAAGATAAACAGAATCAGCTTTGGGGACCGGAGCATTTTCTTCCTAGTTTTGTCCCATCTGTTCCTCTAGAATACTTGTGAGTAGGTGTTAGCAATATGCTGTCGTCCTGTAGTCTGAGAAAGAGCGGAGAAAATCTGACAGAAATATACCAATTTTCAGCAGTCATGTGAAGTCACTTGGTCCTGTGCAGCAATTCCTGCCTGATGTGTTGCCTGAAGTTTCTTAGTAAGGGACTTTGAGCGACTGCTTTCGCCCCTCTTGTCACCCCTGTACAAACTGACTGAAGCTAGATGTAGAAGAAGCAAATGTGCCAACTAGAAGTGAGCTACAGGCTTTTCCATTATTTGGAGAAGGTTGGACAGGAGGAGGCCAGGGGAATGGACAAAAGAGTGAGTAGCTATGACCCATAAAAAAACTTCGTGAGCTTTAGAAGCTGAATGTAGGAAAGGTGACCGTACAAGAAAAAAAACTAAGATGGTGTTGGGAATAGCCTCATCTCTGGTACTGGAGCAGGAGAAAGGATGTTTCAAGAAGTCTGGTAGGTCAGAGGTCTTCTCTACTATGGTCTTCTGTTCTATGGTCTTACTTTCAAATGAGCCATTGAGTCGGAGAAGGGTTACGTATAACCTCAAAACTTCCTGAAGGCAGAGCCTCTGCAGGTTACTGTGTTTCATGAGAGCTCTGGTCTCTTCCATGTTCATTTGCTTTCCACTGGAGAGGGAGGAAGAGGGAAAAACTCATATGCTGCAAATGCCAAGTCATGGTTTTCGCAAATAATTTGTCTGGGTTCTTCTAGCAGGTAGATAGAGCAGTAGGCAGGAAACCAGAGGAATTTGCCATGTTTAGCATTAATTCTCAGATCTTTGTATTTTATTACAGAAGCTGTATTTAGAGTCCTTACACCATCTTTGTTTCTGAATGGTTGCTAGCCTGTTGGCAGGGTGGCTTTCAGAGTGTATTACTTTCTCTAAGTTGAGAATCTGATAAAAATGGCAATGAACAGTGGTTCTAAGCCTCTCTTGATTACCTGCTTTTTTTCCCCCTTCCCCTTTCCTAAGAATAGGAGTCAGAGAAAAGAAGCAGGTATGCTATTATCAAAAAAAAAAACACCACCACCTACTCCCCCAGCAATTGGATTGTTGCCTAATGCAGGATGTCTTTTGTTTCTGCATGCTGAAGGCTTTGTTGTTGCACAGTGGAGGTACTCACTGGAACTAGTCATCTTTTGTATGTAAAGAGGACTTTACGTGGATTTAAGTTCTATTTTTTTGTTTGTGTGCAGCATCCTTTTCTCCTGAAAGCAGATGATCATCTGTTCGTTCAAGGTCTGTAGCTTTATGAAAGCCTTGCCCATACCTATTGCAGGCGATTTCTACGTTTGGAAGAATTTAACTCAGTTGAATAAAACAGAGTACTGAGATAGGAAAACTGCTGGTCAAATACAGTTTCTACGTGTTGAGTGATGGCAATGCTCAAAGTTCACTGCTTTTAGTTATAAATGAGGTTTTTTCTCACATTGGTCTAGTGACATGATTGTAAAACTATTTTAATCCGGATGAATTCTGTGTCTTGTATCAAGCTTGTATGGTAGGGTTTTCATCATGGTCGCAAAGGGTTTTAATGGTGCAAAAGCTAGCAGGTAGCATTTCTTTTCCGCATAAGGGAGGAGTTGTTTCCACTAAAAATATGCAAAACTATGAAGTGGTGGTAGTAAGAAGAGGAGGAGGGTTTGGAATAAGGTTTATACTGTAGTAAACTGAGTGATAGGCATTGTCTTGTACTGTGTTAATAGTAGTGTCAATAATAGAAACAGTAATGTAACATCAGGTAGTTATTTTGCAGCAAATATCTTCATAATTATGTGGGAAGCTAAGAAACCGGAGGGAGAGATGCTTATTAATATTGCAAGATAATACATGCTAAACAGAACCATTCCTAGAGAGTGATGAGGCAAGACTGAAGTTTTCTTATATGTAAGTTTAAATACCTACCTGGAGAAATAAAAATGTGCTTAGGCTTCTAATTGCTTGTTTGGATGGAGCTGTGTGAAGGTTGCGTTTGTAAATCTTTCCTATGCAAATGTTGTCTGCCTCCCTGACTGCAAGCATTTTTACAACAATTATTTACAGGTTTGTCTTATTACTTTCCTCTCATAAAACAGACTATTTTAAATAATAATCTGTGTCAGAAATGATAATTAAAAAATATCCTTATCTTCTGTTGCAGTACATGTCTGTTGTTAGGACTTTTATAATAGTTATGAACACTTTATAAATTCAGCCTCTTATTTTGCCAACCTATAAAAATGGATTGAAAAGGAAAGTAAACATAACAATACCTTCAAAACACACCAAATGGTGTATTAAATTATGTTTTGTTAAACAAATTACTTTCTAGGTGTTTTTGAAGAAAAATGTTCTTTAACCTGTTAATGTTTTTTTTAATACTTTTGTTCATTCAACAGGTTTTTAGTGACATGTTGCTAATGCAACAGATACTTTCAAAGAGTTGGCATGTTGTGTCCAGAAACGCGTACATTCTTTTACATTGCTTGTGGCATCTTTTGTCTTTGTTAATCATTTTATATCCCTCAGAGTGGTTTAGAAATGAAGACACAATCAAAGGGTTAAGGTCTAAATTCTGTTCTGATTTGCTGCAGCCCTTTGGAGCTGGGCATCACTAGAGTTAGATGGGGCGTAAGTCACAGCAGAGGTTAACCTTGAAGTAAGCTGAAGTTATCCAATGTAAGTTAGACTTTATTTACTAGGGGAGAAAAAGAAAGAAAACATTTTGCCTAAGACTTCTCCAATTTAAAGAAAACTGAAAACATGACGAATGGTCTCCATTTATGATTAGCACCATTACTGCTTTTGACTTGTTGTTGTTGTCTTTATATGTGGTATTAAGAGGAGTTTAATCCTAAAGACGTGTCAGTGTATGACTCTCAGGTCTGGCAACTCACATTAGTGAGTACTGATGGTTGCTTAAGGAGTTCTGGACCAAAATTTGTCTTCCTGCTTCCCAAACTCCATTTTTCAGTGTGAATTGATTTGTGCCAGTTTGATGAATGATCTGTTACTGGTCCGACCAGGAACTGGAGTAGAACAAAACTTGCTTTGGCCACAGGTAAACCCACATTGGTACCTGAATGGGAGAAGGTACTGATTTGACTCCCTGGTGTATTTTGAGTTAAAGCTTTGCCCAGCAGTGGTCCAGTTCTGAGTAAGTTTGCTTTGATGCTGTGACAGTATGGATTAACTTACTTTGTGTATACGTTTAAACGTTGTGTTGAAATGGTGAAAGCTGTTCCTCTTAGGCTCTGGTGGTAAAATTGAAGGGCCTTTATGGTATGAAATGAAAAAAAACCCCACAACCAAATAGAGAAGGAAAACCAGAAAGGCACTGTGAGCTCTTTGACTCCTCTCTGGTTTATGTACTTCAAAAACAAATTTTCAATACTGCCCAAACGTAATTGAGGAGTGTGAGCTCATTGACAGTGGTAGTTGCTGGTTTTCATTAACAATACCAGGAGGATAGCAGTGATTTCATGTAAGTATGTCTATAGCTTGTGGCATCAAAACAGTGGCATGTAAATGCCCGTTTGGGTATCGACATAACTGTGTGCAGCAATTTGCAAACAGACCTGTCCTGTTTGGTAAATTATCTTCCTACAGACTGGTTGAACACTTGCCTTCCTCCCAGCTCCCCCCCTTTAAGCATGCTGTTGTGAAATACTCCTTTCCTTTTCATAAAAGATAGCTTGTTGTTGGATATTTCTGTGCTGTTGTTGATACAGGTTAGTTCTGATTATTATTAAATTACCTATTGCAATATAAAACCTGTGTTTATAATGGAATGCTAATTTTACTGGGTTTTAGGAGCCTGTTTTATTCACTGGAACTATGAGGAAAAACTTAGATCCTTTCAATGAATACACTGATGAAGAGCTGTGGAATGCCTTGGAAGAGGTGACTTATTAAATCTAAATATGTACATATGATATTTACAAGCCAAATAAGACTAGGTTTTAGATGTTTTCATCAGGTTTGATAAGGGCATAGCTATTGATGGAAAAAGGTAGACCACTGTGTGTGTGTTTGTGCGTGTGTGTGTAGATGTGTATATTGTTATATAAGTCTTTTATGAAAAAATTATCCTTTGGGATGATGCTTTGATTCATATCTTAGTTTTAATGAACTTTAATAGATTCTTAACAATGTGCTTTAATGTTTTTAGAATTCTAATAACTGACACACTGTGTAATCCAACTTGGCAGTTACTCATTTTATGTCAGAATATAAAAGGTAAACCTTGCATACTTATTATTGTGTCATCAAACACACAATAGCTGATTTAAAAGAGAGTTACTCATCCTACAATATGTTGACATGTCAACAGGTGCAACTGAAGGAGGTTGTGGAAGATCTACCTAATAAAATGGAGACGCAGCTGGCAGAATCTGGGTCTAATTTTAGTGTTGGTCAGAGACAGCTGGTGTGTCTTGCCAGAG